CTTCTTGAATAGGATACCACCCGGAACCTACTCAAGAATTGGGGACCAGGCCGAATTTGGTCTAAATCTCCAACCCCGGGGGGGGGATATTATTTCACCCTTCTTGCAAAGATAAGCAACAGGATCAAAATAATTATATTGTTTTCTGGAATTCAGAAGAGAAAAATAGATCAAAATCGAAAGCATCCTAGCTCAGAGGCAGAGCGCAGGGCTCATAACCCTGAGGTCCCTGGATCGAAACCAGGGGGTGCTACTTTTTTGGCCATGCTCGCAATGGGAATACCAAAATCCGACCACAAAGGCCTGGTCTGGCTGTAGCAATTTGATTCGGTTATTTTTGCACTTGGCTGATAATATATTGATTTACTAAATATCCACAGAATATAGACGATCATGCTACGAATCATTCACGATTTCTACGCGCATCACGCATATTCAAGCAGCACCTTTCAGGAGTGCTGGCTCAACGCCGCCACGACCTGGTTTTCATTTGAGCTAGGCGGGCTGGAAGGTCCGGACAAATTGACCATCACAAAATACAGCACTGCTCATTCTTCTAGACAAGAACAAACTGCCAATCATTGCATCTCTTCTTCGTAGAACATTTTAGTCTTAGCTTCCGACACCAAATACATCGATAGTTGTAGCCCTGGTGATTCTACCCGGTAATATATTTGAGCTCCATCAAAAATAAATACCTACGTGGGCTCTTAAGAGCACCGGTGTGTCCGGTTGAAGGGTAGCTTACGCCAACCTCATGGCTATAATACTGTGAGAGAGCGAACATTGCTAGTGAAATGAGTGTCTTATATTCGAGATACGCTATGTATGAGTTTGTCTCCGTTTTAGAACAAGATAATAAATTGGACACGATTCCTGTACCTTATCCTTAAAAATAAGATAAATAATGTATATGTAGAATAACACATGTACGTGTACTGATCGTAAAAACCCACTAAATATCGTTGTCGTTGTAGTTGTCATCTCAAAGAGACTTTAGATACTCGCTATGCAGCTTATCCTGGGCTGCCTGCTCCTTGACCAGCTTCTTTAGCTTGCTCTTGGTCAGATCCTCGCCGTCCTTGTCCTTTGTTGGCAGTCCGCTTTCGTCCCATTCAGAGTAAAGCTCAAGCATCTCTGGGGTGCGGAACATGTCGTTTGGAGAGATCTTAGCCTTTTGAAGTCGCAGCTGGCGCTTGGCTTCGTTCTCGCGCGCCTGGGCTTCCTTCTTTTCGCGCCTCGCCTTCTCCTCCACCTCGCGCTGCTCGCGTTCGCGCTGGAGCTGCTCAGGATCGGCAAATTTGACAAGCGCACGG